CACCAAGACCATAACTACCAAAAAAATCATGTTAATGGGTGTCCGGTTTATTTCTTGCCAATTCGAATAGTTTTTTAATTCCAATGTTTTTCCCCGATTTGGGTATAAATGAAGCATTGAGAGGCTGTATCTTGAAACAGTTGCATTAGCAATATGCCTATAAGCAATCTGTGGTCCAAGTCTATTCAATATGTTGTTAGTTGATTTCCGATGTATTGCGGAACATGTATAGAAGTTTTCAAGAGGAAACTAAGGCACTACCTCCGCCTGGTGCCAGATCAACTAGGCTGTGACGAATCTGTGAGCCAACGAGCCGCTAACAGCAATAACCTGGTGGAACATTATGATTTAGGCCGAATCTCTGACTAAACAGATGTTTTGGTTAAAGTTCGGGCTGGTAAAGTAGAAAAACTCTTGAAATCCATGACAGGTATATCAAACGCAAATGATTACGATACCTGGAGTATACCTGTAGGGTGTTTCGGGGGTCGACGCCCCCTCGGCCCGGTCCATGACCTGGCCTCGCTCTCGATGTTTACAACATTTGAACATTGTAGAGAGATTGACTTCGGTATGATGTTGCTTCAGTCGTACCCATTTACTGGAGATTAAGGTGGGGGTGGATATTATAAGAGTTTGTTGTTCCTTCGTTATGGGTAGACGAGGTACATGTATAGGACTTGACAATGAGAGGACCTGAAGGACAGGCCAAGCCTTCGCCCAGGGCAGAGGACAAGATCCAGCTGGAAGTCTTTCTGTAGTCTTGGTCCTTCAGCGGGTGTTGCAGGACCTGAGTGGACTATTACTTGCCAGTGTACTTTCCCCTCAGTAAAGTTGTGTTTATCATAGTTGTGTGGTAGATCATTGTAATCCCCCATGTAGTCTTATATTATTGCCGTCCTCTCTGAAGGCCACACGCATCATATATCTGTTATCACAGATAATATAACTGTTATCACAGATCATATAAATAATATAAACACTAATGTACAGAATCCGATAGAAATATGTAAGTGAAAAATGTCATTGGCACTCATGATTTGGAGAAAGAACTCTGGTGAAATCCCAGAAGCCTTAGGCATACGGACGTGGATCTTTTGCGTAAAGAAGGAAGTAAAGCGCCAGTCAGAAATTACAAGCCAGTAGCCCTAACATCCCACGTCATAAAAGCCTTCGAAAAGGTGATGAGATGCCAAATTACATACTTTATGGAACAGCGAAACCTGTCTTGGAAGAAAGTCAAAACTCAGATGTAGTATAAGACGGATTTCCTAAAGCATGTGACAAATGCGGCCGTGGGGGGACTGCATGTAAAATGGGACAACAGGAATAACGGGAAAAGTAGGCAAATGGACTTTCAGCTTTATGACACACGCAAAACAACTACAGCGGGAGTTGAATGATAGCTTTAGCCCTTTCGCGTTGGACTCAACACATCATCCGGAGCTTGCAATGTTGCAGAAGAGTGGTAATCACAGGTACATACGTTATCACTCTTGGGATAGATTCTAAGTTCGACTAGAATTGTTCCCATGAACGATTCTTGACCTGGACTGTCCTACACATTTCTGCAACATTCAACAAGCTCCTGATGTGTGTCGATTTGCAACACAAAGTCCTAAAACTATCATTCAACTCTCCTACCCTGTGGTTCTTTTGCATCTTGTATCACTTGTTCGCAATTGTTTTATAACAGCATAGATATTACTTAATGTATAGTAAACTCAGCATAAATGTCAGCATTACTAAGTAAAAGTGAGTCCTCAGGTCGTGTCACTGGCACCTCTACTGTGTCATCCTCATTCTAGACTAATAACACACTCTAGCATCTACAATTGTTAACTTCGATTCACAATCTCTCAACACTGGGTACTTTGACACTAACTGGTGTACTACTTCTTCATTGGTACTTCTACCATTGCTTATCACTCTGTCTTCTCCACTGTGCTCTCTTCACCTGGTCTCTTCTTACCACTGTCTTCTCGTCGCTCTCGGTCTTACCACTGTCTGCTCTCTTCTCTCTGTCTCTTCTAACCACTGTCTGCTCCTCTCTGGTCTCTTCTCACTGTCTGCTCACTCTGTCTCAATCTGTCTCTTCTACCACTGTCTGCTTCTTCACTCTGGCTCTTCTACCACTGTCTGCTCTCTTCACTCTGGTCTTCTACCACTGTTGCTCTCTCTGTCTCTACCACTGTCTGCTCTCTTCACTCTGGTCTTCTACCACTGTCTGCTCTCTTACTCTGGTCTTCTACCACTGTCCTACATGCTCTCTTTCACTCTGGTCTCTTCTACCACTGTCTGCTCTCTTTACTCTGGTCTTCTACCACTGTTCTGCTCTCTACTCTGGTCTCTTCTACCACTGTCTGCTCTCTTCTCTCTGTCTCTTCTACCTGTCTGCTCTACATGTTCTCTCTGGTCTCTTCTACCACTGTCTGCTCTCTTTCTCTGGTCTCTTCTACCACTGCTGCTCTCTTTCTCTGGTCTCTTCTACCACTGTCTGCTCTCTTCACTCTGGTCTCTTCTACCACTGTCTGCTCTCTTCTCTCTGTCTCTTCTACCACTGTCTGCTCTCTTCTCTCTGTCTCTTCTACCACTGTCTGCTCTCTTCCGTCTACTGTCTCTTCTACCACTGTCTGCTCTCTTCTCTGGTTCTTCTACCACTGTCTGCTCTCTTCACTCTGTCTCTTCTACCACTGTCTGCTCTCTTTCTCTGGTCTCTTCTACCACTGTCTGCTCTCTTCTCTCTGTCTCTTCTACCACTGTC